CAGGCACATACACAACTTCTCTCCAGGAATTCCTTTTTCTCCTGTTAGAGAAAACCTGAAGATGCTTAGGGACATGCCGAGTCACATCAGAAGCTCAGTAAGGTGACATTCACTAACCACATGCTTTTTCTCAGACTCACCTTCATTAAGACACCTTTCCACATCACACATCACAATCTTATTCTCACCAAAACTAGAATGTCCCAGCTCCATGATATTTGCTTTTTCTTACTTGCTTTTAATAAAACCAGAGTGTTTCCTCTTCCAAGGGGGTTTTAAAGATACGGAGCAATAAAGAAATAAAAGTGTTTTTTTGTTTTGTTTTGGCTTTTGTTTTTCCAGAGAAAGGATCTTGCTATGTTGCATGGGCTAGACTTCTGGGCTCAAATGGTCCTCCTGCTTTGGCCTCCTGAGTAGCTGGGAATACAGGCATGCATCCCATGCCTGGCTCAAAAGTGTTTCTTCATCATACCCTTAGTCTAGGTCATTCTAAGAAAAAGCCTTTTGTTTCTCAGCATTGCTCGGCAGTATACTGTGCGAACTGAGAACACGTGACAATCTTGGTTTTCCTATTACAGCTGCACATCTACAAGTTCTCCTGTGTGTTTTTGTTTTAAGCCAGCTGGCACCAATTACCCTGCATTGGTCATCTTGTTCACAGTCCTGCTGTACTGAGAGTGGGAGAAACTGAAACAGTCACAATTGTGGAAGACAAAAAACACTTTGGAACTGTCCACCAAGGCCTTTAGAAGAAATTCTGTCTGAAGACCTCTTGTTTGGGTTACCACTGAAACAACTGAGACAAGAAAAAAATAACCAAATAAGTCAATGGGAAATTAGTTTCTCTTGAAGAAAGCCTAAGACATTCTTGCTAAGACATCCAAAAACAGTGTGGCTAAATCTGCAGTGCCCATATCCCAGACCAAGCCCCACCCCAGAACCTGCCTCCACCATTCTGGCAGCCCTTCTACTTGCAATTTCCAAAACCAAAATCCTTAGAAACTTATTTAATTATTAAGTTTTTGAGCTTTTATTTCAAGCAGAAATTGTGACTAGATTTTCCTTAAAGAATAAATTGATCTGATCAAATCTTTATTGTAGCATTTATCTAAGTCCTCAGCTTATTAGAGTAGAATCTAGATGTGAAACCTGGCATGTATCTACACACACACACACACACACACACACACACACGAAACTTAATTCACTTGCTACATTAACAGTCTTGCTGGCACTCTCTCATCTTTCAAGAATAGTATGGTTGGCTGCCTTTATGTTTTCATTTAGCATCTCAAAATGGGGACTTCTTATTTGAGAAGGGTTACAGCATGACTCAGCCATTTGGTTAATCTGACTGATTAGCATTCTGTTGCCCATTAACAGCACTAAAAACAACAACTGGAGTTCCAAATACTTCTCAGATTTCCAAACAGAACTTTTCAGTGTCAAGGACATTTGTTGCTTCCTGACCTTGGTAAATTTTGGCCTAGTTAATACCCCGGAAAAAGCCCTCTTATTTCCCTGAACAGAGAAGACATCATTTTAAATGACCTCCTAAATTGGCAACCTCCTAAACCATACTACCTTTTCAAAAATACAATTCCAAATTAAAATTCTATGTCAGGAGGAAAACATTAAGTGAATTGCAAGCGTTTTTCTGAGCCTCATTTAACTCAGGTGCATGAAGTTAGGAAGGCAAATTTACATAAAGCTTGTTTTGAGTTTGAGTGTTTCTGCCAGGGGTGGGGGAAGTGGGATCTATATTTTTATAACTGTGAAAAGGCTGTAGCTAAAATTTAGATATAAAATTACAAAATTAAAATTCAGCATTTGCTCTAGGGCAGTGGGGAGGAAGAACGAGAAAGCTAGCTAAACAGTGAGAGAGCGTAACAGTATGTGGATTGCGTGCCATGCAAACTTATCAGGCAGCCTTGATTCAAAGAGGGAAATTTAAGTGGCAACTTCATAAAAAGATTCAAAATACTCATGACTCAAACCAATGTTTTTAGTATTCTTAATTTCTCATTTATTTTTGTATACCTTTGCTGTAAAAATGTGATAAAAATGAACAAATATGTTTGTGTAGTTTGCCCTGATTGTATGCGGATGATATAGAGAATAAAGACATGATTCATAATATTAAAGAATCCACCCTCGATGGGGAAGACCACCAGGAGAGCAGTAATGTAACCGAAATGGGCAGACATGACCAGAGCAAAGAGGAGACGCCCCTGTAGGCAAGGGAGTAGGTCAGGGAATGTGTTCTGGAAGAAATGCCCCAGGAAGTAAACCTTGGGTTTTCCTTTTTACTTCCTTTTCTAGCTAGGCAAGCACTTCCTTTCCAGGTCTGCAGGTTTTCTTCTCATCTAGGTTATTTATTTAGTAGTTACTATAGGTAAATGTATTAATTGTATTATACATATTTTCTCAATTATTCTTCCCCAAATCATATTAAATAGGTTTTACTATTATCACCTTCGTTATGGCATGAATGGTGTTCCTCCAAAATTATGTCGACGCCCTAATCCCTTGGACCTTAGAATACGACTATATTTGGAGCTAGGACCTTTAAAGAGGTAACTAAGTTAAAATGGGGTGATTAAGATGGGCTGTAATCAAATATGACTGGTGTCCTTATAAGAAGCAGTGATCAGGCTATAAACAACACAGAGAGACAACCAGGTGAGGACACAGCAAGACCGTGGACATCAGCAAGCCAAGGACAGAGGCCTCTGAAGAAACCAAACCTGACCTTGGACGTTCAGCCTCGAGAAAACTTCTTGGAGTTTTAGCCTTTGAGAAAACTTCTGCTGTTTAAGCCACCTAGTCTGTGGGATTTTGCTATGACAGCCCTAGCAAACTAATATCCCTTTTCACAAATAAGAAAACAGAAACTTAGAATAGTTGCTCAAAGTTACACAAAAAGTCTCAGAACCAAGATTTGAGACTGGGTCTCTCTGATCCAGAGCTTCTGTTAACTCCCAAACGCAACTGCATCCTATGAGCCCTTGCCTTCCCAGGTATGCTCTGAACCCCACCAGGAATGATTCCCTTTGCAGGGCTTCCCACTCCCTTTATGAGCCCCTCTTCAGCATACCTAACTCTCATTAAATAAGAACTTGCACCAGCACTGTAGTCATTACCATGGCAAATTCTCTGTGGGACTTAGGATCAGAGACAGGCTGGGACCTGAAGGAGATCACAATCCCATGGGACATAAAAAGTAGCAGTTAAATAGCATCCCAAGGAATCAAGCGAATGCTGAATGACTACTACAGGTGACAAACAAAGAGCTATCTACCTCCCCATTACCATACTCTCCCTTACTACTACATCTGGTTCCCATCCCTAATCTGAAACTGCACTTGCCATGGTCTCCTAGTTTCCAAATCCAATGGGCACTAGTAATCTTATGTGACACATCTGTAAGTTTGACACCATTGGCCCTGCCTTCCTTTTTAGAAACACCCTTCTCCCTTAACATTCTTGGCATGATTTTCTGGTTTTCTTTTTTTCTTTCTGATTACCCTTGTTCAGTAACCTTATATGGTTCCATCTCTTTATCCCATCTTTCTATATTGGTGAGTCTTGGATTCTGTTCTCAGTCCATCTCTTCTCTCTCTACATACTCAACCTTGATGATGATATCCATTCCCATATTGTCAACCCCACCCACCAATGACTCCTAAATCTATATCTCTGGCCCAGACCTTGTTTCTGAGCTCTAAACCCACACATCCAGCTGCCACAAAAAGGCAGAAGCATAGGATGCACAGGTTTAGAAAGTTTAGGATGGGCAGGTATGGGAACCATGCAGGTCTTCATTTACACTAAGGTTTCATTATTTCTTACTTAATTTCTTTAATATTTTGGTGTCCTCATCTATAAAAATGAAAATAATAATATCCACCTGAAGAAGCTTTTGTAAGGATGCAGTTCTGAAGTCTCCCAAAACCACTCAGGTTCAATAGTTGGCTAGAACTCAGAGAATTCAGAAATGCCATTTTGCTGTCGATTACGGCTTCTTACAGCCAAAGAATAAAAACTAAAATCAACAAAAGGAATTAGATGGGGCAGAGTCCAGTAGAGACCAGGCACAGAGTTTCCAGTTATCCTCTCCCAGTGGATCATGTGGACACCAATAACTTCTTCTAACAAAAATGTGGGACAATATGCATGGAGTATTGCCAACCAGGGAAGCTCATCTGAGCCTTAGTATTCAGAGTTTTTAATAAGGGTCAGTTATGTACACATGGCTGACCACCCAGGTGGCTAACTTCAGCCTCTCCAGATGTCAAGCCCAAAGCCCCCACCATAAATCACTATAATAACCTTGTTAGTATAAACTATCTGGCATGGCTCAAAGTTCCAGGTAAACATCGATATTTTTATCAGGCCTACAGGTTGGTAAGAACATCTAGATTCCCAGTCAACACATTTACTGCACAGAGGATAAATCAGTTCATGCATGTAATGTGTTTAGCACAGTGTCTGACACATAATAACTCAATAAATGTTAATTGTTGCTAATATTTTTACCTTGTGTTCTTTACTTTCCATGTTCAGCCAGCTACCAAGTTCTTACATCACCATCCTCTTTCTTTTCTATTTCCCTTTATGCCCTTCCTTTATACAGTGGAGGATATATAATGAAATAAGAAAATATGTAAAATGAACAGGTGAATTTTTAAAAAATCCAAATAAAACTTCTCAAAAAAGTGATCTTTGAAATTAAAAACTCAATGAATGTCATGAGCATCAGATTATCCACAGATAAAAGAGCAGTAAAGATTCTAACTTTAATTTTATCCTAATTTGTGTACTTTTTTCATAAGGAAACACACAAAAAGATCCACTGTTGCATTCTTTGAAACAGTAGGAAATTAGAATTGGTAAGGAAGTGTATAAAAAATAATGGTATACTTTCCATGGGATACTATGTAGCCATAAAAAGAAATGAGATCATGTCCTTTGCAGGGACATGGATGAAGCTAGAAGCCATCATCCTCAGCAAACTAACACAGGAATAGAAAACCAAACACCACATGTTCTCATTCATAAGTGGGAGTTGAACAATGAGAACACATGGACACAGGGAGGAGAATAACACACACCAGGCCCTGTTGGGGGATTCGGAGTGAAGGGAGGGAGCTTAGAGATCAGGTCAATAGGTGCAGCAAACCACCATGGCACATGTATACCTATGTAAGAAAACTTCATGTTCTGCCCATGTATCTTGGAACCTAAAGTAAAATTTAAAAAAAATAAATGTAAAAATAATGGTGTATTTTTACAGCAGAATGATATTCAGATGTTGAAATAAATGAACTAGATTTAAATGTATAAATTTATATAAATGCATAGTAAATTATAGTAGTGAAAAGTAAGGTAAAAATGGATAAAGGATTATGCCATTTCTGTATATTTCTAAAACTCAAACTATAACACCCAGAACTTACATTTACATATTTTGAAAATGTATAAATATAGATTAGAAGGATACACACCAGATATAGAATATTTCTTATCCCAGGAGAGGAGAGGTAGTGAATGGGGAAGTCAAGAAAAGATTATAAGACTTTCTACTGCATTCTATTGTTACATTAAAAAAAAAAAAATCCAGCCTGGGAAACATAGCAAGACTCCATCTCTACAAAACTTAAAAATTCAGCCAGGTAGGGTGGTGCATGCCTGTAGTCCTAGCTACTCAGGAGGCTGAGACAGGAAGATCATTTGAGCCCAGGAGTTCAAGGTTGCAGTTAGCTATGACTGCTTCACTGCACTCAGCCTGGATGACGGAGTAAGACCTTGTCTCTAATAAAACTAAATAAAAAAATTTTAAAAATGTAATTGGAGCAAATATAGCAAACATGCACCATAGATTACTATCAGTTCTGTCATGTTCTCTCTTTCTCTTCCTTCCCCCATATTATACCTTTATATTAGCCAGGGTTCAACCATAGAATGAAACAAGGTAAGAGATATATATTATAAAAGAATTATTACATAGAATTATCATATGATCCAGCAGCTTTATTCTTAGGAATAAACCCACAGGAATTGAAAGCAAGGACTTATACAAATATTTATATTCCAGTGTTTGTTGCAGCATTATTCACAATAGCCAAAATGTTCAACCCAAGTGTCCAGCAATTGATGAATGGATAAATGAAATGTTGTATATACATACAGTAGAATATTGCTTAGCCATAGATACATGCTACAACATTGGTGAACTTTGAAAACTTATGCTAAATGAAATAAGTCAGACACAAAAGAACAAACATTGTATGATTCTACTCGTGAAATATCTAGAATAGTCAATTTCATAGAGACAGAGAATATATTGGAGGTTACCATGACATGAAAAGAAGGCAAAAGGGAGAATTATTGCTCGATGGCTACAGAGTTTTTGTTTGGAATGATGAAAAAATTTGGAAATACATAGTGGTGATGGTTTCATAACATTATTGATATAATTAATGCCACTGAATTGTACACTTAGAAATCACTAAAACAGTAAATTTTGTTATCTATATATTTACCACCATTTTTTTAAAAATTAATAATGTAATATGTCAAAAACCATTAATTTGTATACTTTAAATAGGTAAATTGTATTGTATGTGAATTATATATCCAAAAAAGAGACAGAGATGTATTGCAAGGAATTGGCTTACCCAGGCCCCTGGGTTTCAAGCACAAAACTGGGCTGCCATTTGGGCAGACATCGAGCTACCTGCAGGACTTTTTCTTTATACTCCAGTGGCACCTGGAATGCCAGCAAGACATAACCATTCACTCCTCTGGAAAGGAGGCTGAAGCCAGGGAGCCAAGTGGTCTAGCTCAGTGGGTCCCACCCCCACGGAGCCCAGCAAACTGAGATCCACTGGCTTGAAATTTTGGCTGCCAGCACAGCAGTCTGAAGTTGACCTGGGATGCTTGAGCTTGGTGGGGAGAGGGACGTCTGCTGTTACAGAGGCTTGAGTAGGTGGTTTCCCCATCACAGTGTAAACAAAGCCACAGGGAAGTTTGGACTGGGCAGAGCCCACCATAGCTCGGCAAACCCACTGTAGCCAGACTGCCTCTCTAGATTTCTCCTCTCTGGGAAGAGCATCTCTGAAAGAAACGCAGCAGCCCCAGTCAGGGGCTTACAGATAAAACTCCCAACTCCCTGGGGCAGCTGCGGGCACAGCTTCAGCAGACTTAAACATTCCTACCTGCTGATTCTGAAGAAAGCAGAGGATCTCCCAGCACAGCATTCAAGCTCTGATAAGAGATAGACCGTCTCCTCAAGTGAGTCCCTGACCCCATGCCTCCTGACTGAGAGATACCTCCTAGCAGGGTTCGACATACATCTCATAAAGAAGAACTCTGGCTGGCATCTGGCAGGTGCCCCTCTGGGACGAAGCTTCCAGAGGAAGGCACAGGGAGCAATCTTTGCTGTTCTGCAGCCTGTGCTGGTGATACCTAGACAAACAGGGTCTGGAGTGGACTCCCAGCAAACTACAGCAGATCTGCAGCAGAGGGGCCTGACTGTTAAAAGGAAAACTAACAAACGGAAAGGAATAGCATCAACATTAACAAAAAGAACATCCACACAGAAATCTTATCTGAAGGTCAACAACATCAAAGATGAAAGGTAGATAAACCCATGAAGATGAGGAAAAACCAGTTCAAAAAGGCTGAGAATTCAAAAAACCCAGAATGCCTCTTCTCTCCAAAGGAAAACAACTCCTCACCAGCAAGGGAACAAGAATGAGTTTGATGAATTTAGAAAAGTAGGCTTCAGAAGGTGGATAATAACAAACTCCTCTGAGCTAAAGGACCATGTTCTTACCCAATGCAAGGAAGCTAAGAACCTTGAAAAAACATTAGAGGAATTGCTAACTCGAATAACCAGTTTACAGAAGAACATAAATAACCTGATGGAGCTAAAAAAAACACAGCATGAGAACTTCGTGAAGCATACACAAGTATCAACAGACAAATTGATCAAGTGGAAGAAAGGATATCAGAGATTGAAGACCGATTTAATGAAATAAAGTGTGAAGACAACAAAGGAGAAAAAGCATGAAAAGAAACAACGTCTCTAAGAAATATGGAACAATGTGAAAAGACCAAACCTATGTTTGACTGGTGTACCTGAAAGTGATGGGGAGAATGAAACCAAGTTGGAAAACACTATTCAAGACATTACCAGGAGAAATTTCCTAATCTAGCAAGACAGGCCAACATTCAAATTCAGGAAATACAGAGAACACCACAAAGATACTCCTCAAGAAGAGCAGCCCCAAGACACATAATCATCAAACACACCAAGGTTGAAATGAAGGAAAAAATATTAAGGCCACTCAGAGAGAAAGGTTGGGTTACCCACAAAGGAAAGCCCATCAGACTAATCTCTCTGCAGAAACCCTCAAAGCCAGAAAAGAGTGGGGGCCAATATTCAACATATTTTAAAAAAATAATTTTCGACCCAGAATTTCATATCCAGCCAAACTAAGCTTCATAAGTGAAGGAGAAATAAAATCCTTTAAAGACAAGCAAATGCTGAGAGATTTTGTCACCACGAGGCCTGACTTACAAGAGCTCCTGAAGGAAGCACTAAATATGGAAAGGAAAAACCGGCAGCAGCCACTGCAAAAACATACCAAATTGTAAAGACCATCAACACTATGAAGAAACTGCATCAAATGGGCAAAATAAGCAGCTAGCATCAGTATAACAGGATCAAATTCACACATAACAACATTAACCTTAAATGTAAAAGGGCTAAATGCCCCAATTAAAAGACATAGACTGGCAAATTGGTTAAATAGTCAAGACTCATTTGTGTGCAGTATTCAGGAGGCCCATCTCATGTGCAAAGACATACATATGCTCAAAATAAAGAGATGGAGAAAGATTTGCCAAGCAAATGGAAAGCAAAAAAAAAAAAAAAGCTGGGGTTGCAATCCTAGTCTCTGATAAAACAGATTTTAAACCAAAAAGACCAAAAAAGACAAAGAAGATTATTAGATAATGGTAAAGAGATCAATGCAACAAGAAGAGCTAACTACCCTAAATATACATGTACCCAACACAGGAGCACCCAGATTCATAAAGCAAGTTCTTAGAGGCCTACAAAGAGACTTAGGTTCCCACACAATAATAGTGGGAGACTATAATACCCTACTGTCAATATTTGATCAATGAAACAGAAAATTAACAAGGATATTCAGGACTTGAACTAAGCTCCGAACCGAGTAGACCTAATAGACATCTACAAAACTCTCCACCCCAAATCAACAGAATATACATTCTTCTCAGCACCACGTCGCACTTCTTATAAAATGGACCACATAATTGGAAGTAAAACACAAAAGAATAAAAATCATAACAGTCTCTCAGAACACAGTGCAATCAAATTAGAACTCAAGATTAAGACACTCACTAAAAACTGCACAACTACGTGGAAATTGAACCACCTGCTCCTGAATGACTACTGAGTAAACAACGAAATTAAGGTAGAAATAAATAAGTTCTTCCAAACTCATGAGAACAAAGACACAATGTACCAGAATCTCTGGGACACAACCAAAGCAGTGTTTAGAGGGAAACATATAGCATTAACTGCCCACAGGAAAAAGCATAAAAGATCTAAAATCAACACCCTAACATCACAATTAAAAGATGAAAGAAACAAGAGCAAACAAATTCAAAAGCTAACAGAAGACAAGAAATACCTAAGATCAGAGCAGAACTGAAGGAGATAGACACACACACACACACACACACACACACACACACACACACCCTAAAAAAAATCAATGAATCCAGGAGCTGTTTTTTAAAAAAACGTTTAACAAAATAGATAGACTACTAGACAGAATAATAAAGAAGGAAAGAGAGAAGAATCAAACAGACAAAATAAAAAATGATAAAGGGGATATCATCTCTGATCCCACAGAAATACAAACTACCATCAGAGAATACTATAAACACTTCTATGCAAATAAACTACAAAATCTAGAAGACATGGATAAATTCCTGGACACATATACTCTCTGAAGAATAAACCAGGAAGAATTCGAATCCCTGAATAGACCAATAACAAGTTCTGAAATTGGGGCAACAATTAATAGCCTACCAACCAAAAAGAGCTCAGGACCAGAGAGATTCGCAGCCAAATTCTACCAGAGGTACAAAGAGGAGCTGGTACCATTTCTTCTGAAATTATTCCAAACAATAGAAAAAGAGGAAATTCTACCTAATGCATTTTATGAGGCCAGCATCATCCTGATACCAAAACCTGGCAGAAACACAACTAAAAGAGAAAATTTCAGGTTAATTTCCCTGATGAACACTTATGCAAAAATCCTCAATAAAGTACTGGCAAACTGAATCCAGCAGCACATCAAAAAGCTTATCCAACATGATCAAGTCAATATCATCCCTGGGATGCAAGGCTGGTTCAACATATGCAAATCTATAAATGTAATCCATCACATAAACAGAACGAATGACAAAAACCACATGATTATCTCAATAGATGCAAAGGCCTTCAATAAAATTCAATACCTCTTCATGCTAAAAATTCTCAATAAACTAGGTATTGATGGAATCTATCTCAAAATAGTAAAAGCCATTTATGAAAAACCACAGCCAACATCATACTGAATGGGCAAAAGCTGGAAGCATTCCTTTTGAAAACTGTCACAATACAAGGAGGCCCTCTCTCACCACTCCTATTCAACATAGTATTGGAAGTTCTGGCCAGGGCAATCAGGCAAGAGAAAGAAATAAAGCATTTTCAAATAGGAAAAGAGGAAGCCAAATTGTCTCTGTTTGCATATGACATGATTGTATCTTTAGAAAACCCCATCATCTCAGCCCAAAATCTCCTTAGCTGATAAACAATTTCAGCAAAGTCTCAGGATACAAAATCTATGTACAAAAGCCACAAGCATTCCTATACACCAGTAATAGACAAACAGAGAGCCAAATCATAAGTGAACTCCCATTCACAGTTGCTACAAAAAGAATAAAATACCTAGGACTACAACTTAAAAGGGATGTGAAGGATCTCTTCAAGGAGAGCTATAAACCACTGCTCAAGAAAATAAGAGAGGACACAAACAAATGGAAAAACATTCCATGCTCATGGAGAGGAAGAATCAATACTGTGAAAATGGTCAACTGCCCAAAGTAATTTATAGATTCAGTGCTATCCCCATCAAGCTACCATTGATTTGCTATACAGAATTGTAAAAAAAAAAAAAAAAAAAAAAAAACCTTGAATTTCATATGGAACCAAAAAAGAGCCAGTATAGCCAAGACAATTCTAAGCAAAAAGAACAAAGCTGGAGGCAACACACTACCTGACTTCAAACCATACTACAAGGCTACAGTAATCAAAACAGCATGGTACTGGTACCAAAACAGACCAATGGAACAGAACAGAGGCCTCAGAAATAATAATGCCACACATCTACAACCATCTGATCTTTGACAAGCATGATAAAAACAAGCAATCAGGAAAGGATTTCCTATTTAATAAATTGTGTTGGGAAAACTGGTAAGCCATATGCAGAAAACTGAAACTGGACTCCCTCCTTACACCTTATACAAAAATTAACTCGAGGTGGAGTAAAGACTTAAACATAAGACCTAAAACCATAAGAACTCTGGAAGAAAATCTAGGCAATACTATTCAGGACATAGGCATGGGCAAAGACTTCATGACTAAAACATCAAAAGCAATGGTAGCAAAAGCCAAAATTGACAAATGAGATCTCATGAAACTAAAGAGCTTCTGCACAGCAAAAGAAACTATCATCAGAGTAAACAGGCAACATACAGAATAGAAGAAAATTTTGGCAATCTGTCCATCTGACAAAGGGCTAATATCCAGAGTCTTCAAAGAGCTTAAACAAATTTACAAGAAAAAAACAACTCCCTCAAAAAGTGGGTGAAGGATATGAACAGACACTTTTCAAAAGAAGACATTTATGCAGCCAACAAACATATGAAAAAAAAAAGCTCATTATCACTGGTCATTAGAGAAATGCAAATCAAAACCACATTGAGATACCATCTCACGCCAGTTAGAATGGGGATCTTAAAAAATCAGGAAGTAGCAGACACTGGACAGGATGTGGAGAAATAGGAATGCCTTTACACTGTTGGTGGGAGTGTAAATTAGTTCAACCATTGTGGAAGACAGTGGGTAATTCCTCAAGGATCTAGAACCAGAAATACCTTTTGACCCAAAATCCCATACCCAAAGAGTTATAAATCATTCTACTATAAAGACACATGCACACATATGTTTATTGCAGCACTGTTCACAATAGCAAAGACTTGGAACCAACCCAAAATGCCCGTCAATGATAGACTGGATAAAGAAAATGTGGCACATATAGACCATGGAATACTATGCAGACATAAAAAAGGATCTGTTCATGCCCGTTGCAAGAACATGGAAGAAGTTGGAAACCATCATTCTCAGCAAACTAACACAGGAACAGAAAACCGAGCAGTGCATGTTCTCACTCTCAAGTGGGAGTTGAACAGTGAGAACACATGGACAAAGGGAGAGAAACATCACACACTGGGGCCAGTCAGGGGGTGAAGGGCTAGGGGAGGGATAGCATTAGGAGAAATACCTAATGTAGATGATGGGCTGACAAGTGTAGCAAACCACCATGGCACTTGTATACCTATGTAACAAACTTGCACGTTCTACATATGTATCCCAAAACTTAAAGTATAAATTTTTTTAAAAGACATTGATAATGAATAAATGAAAAACATCTCCAAATGAATCCAGTGACAGCAATGTGGACCATCCTAGAAACTAAACCAATCTGTGTGGTTCATTTTTGTCCTCAATCAAATTCTTACTCTTGAAGGAACTACTCGTCACAAAGGAATCTCAGTTTCCATTTTGGAGATTAATTTTGTATGTTAAACCACTAACTTTCTCCTTTATTCTATGCTATTCTTAGCCCAAGATTACCTGAAATTCAATAAATATTAAATGTAGCAATAATAATGATGATAATGACCATGTAAATAAAAAAATAAATAATCCTATTTAAGCCTTTTCAGATTGTCTGCATTTATGATCTCAGAATTAGAGAATTCATTTCATGGGGTCAAGTGGAATGTCTTTCACCCTTTTCAGGTGTTGTTAACTCATGCTCGGTTTTCCAAAGACAAAAAAAAAAGAAAAATATAAATTACTTCATGTATGATATGAAAATTATGACTATTATAATAACCCAGTGATTTTTAATATCTCCTGACAAAGGATGATGATTATTATATTCTTTAAGTGTCTAGCAGAAATTCTACATTTATCATTTAACAAAAGTAAAGTCTGTACCAGGCATTGAGCTTAGGTTGAGGATATTAAAATTAATAAGGCACAAAACCTGGTAGAAGGGAGTTCCCAGTCTACCCCTATTTACACAATAATAAAACATGATCCTTCCCCAGTCACAGGATGATGGACTCCACTGATTACCTGGGTCTGCCCTGCAGTCCACTCTGGCTCAGATATCTGTGTAAACATCCTCTGCTGACTGGCTTCCAAACCTCAGGCAGAAGGCTATACCAACTGGAAAATTCAACAGTAAAAAATTAAAACACCTCCCATTCTTTCTGAAACATTACAGCCATTTCTCTCTGCTATACTGCTTGTCATGAAGAAACTTCCAAAGACAAAACTTCAAACTTTCAAAGAGGCAAAAGCAAGACATTGTTTGCAATTGAGATGTAAGAAAACAATGGTCCTTGTACCTCAAGGTGTCTCCCAGTTCTCCAGTTTATCTGCTTTTCATCTTCTCCCCTATGTTCTTGCTCCTGCTCTTCTTATCTATTCTTTTACATCTTTATTTCCCTTGGCCCCTCATCATTTCTTTGATCATCATTTCATCCGGCGGTAGCACTCAGGATTAAAGAGAATATGCCATCCAGAGAAATGCAAACCAAAACCACAATGAGGTACCATCTCACACCAGTCAGAATAGCCATCATTGCAAAATCAAAAAATGACAGATGGCAGACGCTGTGGAGAAAAGGCAATGCTTACACACTGCTGGTGGGAATATAAATTAGGTCAGCCACTGTGGAAAGCAGTTCAGAGATTTCTCAAAAAACTTAGAACTACCATTTGACCCAGCAATCCAATTACTGGGTATATATCCAGAAAAAAATAAATCACTCTACCACAAAGACATATGCACTTGTATGTTTACGGCAGCACCATCCACAAGAGCGTAGACGTGGAATCCATCAATGGTGGATTGGATAAAGAAAATGTGATACATATATAACACAGACTACTATGCAGCTATAAAAAAGAATGAAAACATGTCCTTTGCAGCAACATGGATGCAGTTGGAAGCCATTATCCTAAGCAAATGAATGTAGGAACAGAAGCCAAATACTGCACTTCCCACTTTTAAGTGGGAGCTAAACTTAGGTGCATATGGAATAAAGATGGGAACAATAGGCACTGAGGACTACTAGAGGAAGGAG